ATTAGTTCGAATTCTAGTAATCGTGACAGTTTTGGTGTGCCCATACAAATTCTTCCCATGTCAAACATGTTGTCATCAAAGATGAAGGATTTGAAACATAGGTTGAATATGGAAAATGCAGTGAATGTAGGGGAAACCAACTTGAAAGGGAAAGAAATGATTCAAAAAGTGGTTTATATTTTTTTTATTATTAATATATTTTTTGTCGGTTTTATTCGATCAGAATGCTTTTATTTATTCATTATTAATAAATTTACATAAATGTACATTTTACATCAGTCAAAAAAAAAAAAAAAAAGCAAACAGGAGGGAGCTGATGAGTAGATTTTATATTATATATTTTACCCTAATCTTAGTATACTTTGGTTAATATTTTGGAAGAATTTTGATACTTTGAATTGTATTTTCAATATAGGACTTTCGATTTCCTCTGGAGAAAAACAGGACCAAATGGACGAATTTTGGAGTAATTCCAGTTGGAGGACGTTCGTGAGTCACTTAGCTTGATCATATCAAAAATTGGGATTTTTCCACCAAGCGGTTATTTTCTGACGATGAAATAAAGAAGCAGTGCACAGTGCTGGAAAATGACGTTTTTGGGCTTAAATTGCGTTTTTGGAGCCCAAGATGACCTCAGATGGGTTCGTGGCCTTCTGGAAAAGTGTTCAGAATATTCCAAAAATTAAATCCAGCTATATTGGGCCAGTTTTGGAGCAGCTTATGGGTCAAAACGTGGCTGTTCAGATTTTAGACTAATTTTATCATTTAATTTAGGGTTATGTTTCCTAAGTTTGTGGGAGGTTTTTTTGATTAATTTTAGTTTCCTAGGGTTGGTGTGGTGGCTTGGCAAATATATTGCTTAGCCGTCTACAGTTTTAGGGACACTTTCCTTTATGCAATTTTGGAGACAGAGAATTGTTAGGGTTTTGAAGACTTTTTACTTGAAGGTGCTTTCAAATTGTTAGGGTTTTGAAGACTTTTTACTTGAAGGTGCTTTCAATTCTTTTCTTGAATATATTTTCTATGATTTCAATTATGAATATGCGGAACTAATTTCTTTTGCTAGGGCGAAGCCTTAAGCCTTAGCATAAATATGTGATTTTTATTTAATTGCTTATGATCGATTGCATGCGTACTTTGAATTGTTAATCAACGGGATAAAAACTATCTAATTGTCGTAATGCCTGATCACCATTAGGATCTTTAGAAAAGTAATTTGATGCAATTTTGGTCGGAAGGTTCCCTGAAATTGACGCTAGCTTCTTGTGATTAATAATTGTAATTTCTCTTAGGATGAATATCACGTCTTAAGGATTGCATGGTTTTTCAAAGGATTTTCATAAAGCATAATGAGTCTTTCATGTTTAGATTTGATCCAAACGTCCGGACGGGTTGCATGTTAGATATACGTTCTATGTTGGAGGTTCCAAGTAGAATATGAATTAGAAAAATCTAACCTTCAAAGTGGCATGTGTAGATTATAAGTAATTGGTAAAAATTCATAGGATTGCTAGGTGATGGTGGAACCCTAGTGCTTTCTTAATTTTATTCTCCCAAAACTGTTTTATTCTCTCTAGCTCTAATATTGCAGATTGTTTATTTTAATTCATTAATTTCGTTTTTTTTAATTAGGTTATAAAATCAATCACCTAAACTTCTACTTTACAATAATTTAATGGAATCTGATTAGTTTTGAATTATTTAATAATCCTTGTGGAGACGACCTTGCGAAATCTGTTATACTACAATAACCTTGTGATTCTTGCAAGTAAAATAGGAGATTTAAGCCCGTTCACATGAGTAGTAAAAATCCTATCAAGAAAATGGCGCCGTTGTCGGGGATTATTTAAAATAATCCCTACTAATCAGATTTTCAATTAGTTATTGCTGTTCATACATATAAAAAATAATAATTTAATTTTCGTTTTTATTTTATTTTTACAGATTACAATAGTACAGCAGTACAGATTTCATAAATCTGTGCATGGTCAGCACCCGTTCAGCAGTGCAGAAATTGATTCCACTTGATCCAGAACTTGAGCAGAATCTAAGGAGGAGACGCAGAGAGCAAAATTTGCAGCGGGTTCCTCCTCTGCAGGGAACTTTTCTACAGTCTTTAAATTCTGAAGACCTGCACAGCAAAGAAAAAAATGGCATTTGTAATTCCAGAAGCTAGTCTGCCCCTGGGTGATTCACTGACAGCCCATACCACAAATATACCAAGTTGCATTACTTATCCGGCAGTGGAGGAAGGGTCTGCATTTGAAATAAAGCAGCACATGTTGAACATTCTGCCTACGTTTCATGGGTTATCATCTGATGATCCTAACATGCACATTGCAGAATTTTTAATGGGGTGCAAAAATATTTTGGTGAGGGGATTTTCAGCCGAATCTATTAAGCTCTATTTATTTCCTTACACTCTGAAAGATCAAGCAAGGAGATGGCTCCTCACACTCCCATCTGGAAGCATTAGCACTTGGGCCCAACTCAGTGAAAATTTTTTAAACAAGTATTATCCAGCTTCTAAGACTCTTGATATGAGAACTCAAATTTTATCGTTTGCCCAAAAACCAAATGAAGAGTTTCACGAGGCGTGGGAGCGGTTTAAAGAGTTGATTAGAAAATGTCCACATTCGGGTATTAACACTACTGATCAAATGCATATATTTTTCAGAGGGTTGAATATGACTACAAAAACTCTTGTCAACGCATCTTGCGGAGGTTCGTGCAAGGATAAAAATGCACAAGAGGCTTGTTTGTTATTTGAAAAAATGGCAGCAGATACACAACAGTGGGCAGTTGAGCAGCCACAATCTAGGTCTATTTTTGAGATGTCTAACGGTTCTCCATATGTTACAGTACAAATTGAAAAAATGGAGAAAAGACTTGATGCAAAATTCGACATGTTATTACAAAGAATACCAGGTTCACAGGTTGCTGTACAGCAGCCTTTACAAGCTGCCTGCAGCATTTGCAGCTTGACAAATCATGATTTTTTGAGCTGTCCGCATAAAGATGCTTATCCGGAGTTTATGGCGGAGCAGGTTAATTCATTTAATAATTTTCAACGTCCCAGATATGACCCGTATTCAAATTTCTACAACCCAGGTTGGAAAGATCATCCTAATTTAAAGTGGGACAAAGATCAACACTCTAGGCCTCAATTTCAACAGCAGGTACAGCAACATGCTGCACCTAAGGCTGCTTGGGAAGTTGCAATTGAAAAATTAGCAAATACTACCAGTCAAGAAATCCAAAATCTGCATGCATCAATGAAAAATATGGAAAAACAAATTGGGCAGATTGCTTTGCAAGTTTCAGAAAGGGCACCGGGTATATTTGCTAGTCAAACAGTACCTAATCCAAGAGGACGAGAAGAATGCAATGATGTACATACTTTACGGTCTGGCAAAAGTTATGACAACAAACATGAAAAATCTGCTGGAAATTCGTGGGCAGCAGAACAACCCTAAACTAAATCTGCAATTTTTGCAGATTCTGAAAATTCTGCAGATTCTGGGCAGTCCCAAGACAGATCCGAAAATACTGCAAAAGCTACCACAAAAACTACAGAACATGTTTATGAGCCTCCTATGCCTTATCCAGAAAGGTTGAAGCCTAGAGCTAAAAATCAACAGTTGACAGATTTCATGAAAACTTTGGCTAAAGTTCAAATTAATCTTCCATTAATTGATGCAATCAAGAACATTCCATCTTATGCCAAGTTTTTTAAGGACGTTTGTACAAAGAAAAAGAATCTTGTGGATTCTGAAAAAGTGATTCTAACATAACAGTGCAGTGCGGTTTTATTGCATAAATTGCCTCCAAAGAAAAAAGATCCAGGGAGTTTTACTGTCTCTTGCACCATTGGAAATTGTGATTTTAGTAGTGCTTTAATTGATTTAGGTGTTAGTGTAAACTTAATGCCATATTCTGTTTTCAAACGTTTAGGTGAAGGTGAGCTGAAGCCAACCTCCAGTATTATTCAATTGGCTGACCGTTCAATTACCTACCTTAGAGGAGTCATTGAAGATGTTATTGTGAAGGTTGACAATTTATATTTACCGGCTGATTTTATGGTGTTGGACATGGATGAGGATTTGACAACGCCCATTATTTTGGGCCGCCCATTTCTGGCAACAACCCGGACTCTTATTGACGTTGAAGCTGGAACATTAACATTCCAGGTTGAAGATCAAACTGTTGTTTTCAAGTTGTTTGAAGCAAGCATACATTCAGGTGACAAGCAAGAATGCATGCGTGTTGATGCATTGGATGGTTTACCAAGTGCCAAGTTTATGAACAGATCATCAACTGACCATCTGTCCATAAAGCCCCCGAATTTAACTCGTGATTGTACAAGTCTTAAACCACAGCAGCAAAGGGTGCTACATGAAGACCAGCCAATTAACACTATGAAAAAACATGAAAATTTGCCAAGCAACCCAAATTTTAAGAAAATACAGCCTGGTAAAAAAGTGTGGTTATTAAGTTCAGATTTCAAGTCATTTCCAGGAAAACAAGAGTCTCGATGGAAAGGCCCTTTTCTAGTTACTAAAGTTTTTCAGAATGGTAATGTGGACATTAAGGCTAAGGGCACAGATTTCTCATTGAAGGTGACCAAACATCAACTAAAACCATGCATAGAGAAATTTGGTGTAGGCAAGTCATCAACTCTGAAGGAACCAGTGATCTAGCCACCGGACTTCCGCAACGTCTAGCTACAGACTTAAAATAAAGCGCTTATTGGGAGGCAACCCAATGTTTCTAAACTCTTTCCTAATTTTAATTTTCGTTTGATTTTCTCTTCAATAAAAAAAACGAAAAATTCAAAAATGGAAAATTGCAGGTTGATTTTATTTACCCAGTTTATTTGATTTTATTTTAATTTTTTTTAACGCATATTGGTTAATTGCAGGTTGCGAACGTGAAAAATAAGTGAAAAATAAAGCGCGTCCTATGCTGGAAATTTAAAGCAGTCAACATAAAAGTCATTCACAGATGCAAGTTTGGGGGTGATTGTTGCAGATCCAGCACATAGACATAATTTTGAGCAGTTAAATTTCTGCAGCTCAGTTTTGCAATGCATGGGGAAACACAGTTAAATCACAGATCCATACACCACAGAACTGAGTACAGCAATTATTACTAGATCTACAACAATTCAACTTGCAGGGATTCGAATTTTACCTCCCAGATGCATCGATCTGGGTCTTGAGGCCTTGGCTGTTTTTGTTCGATGAGCTTGTGCGTTTACTTCTTTTCCCTCGGCTCTATCATTGATCTGTATACCCCTACATAAAGAGCAAAAATATGAGTACATACAGGTTAAATATGGCATTATAAGGAACTGTCGTTGAACATGTAAATGTTGAGTTTAGCGACTGCAGAAGAACGAGATCTTTACCTTCATGATTTGCAGCGGCCGAGACATTTACCGTTTATTTTGCCTTCTGGGACCATTAGACCGGCAGCTTAAGCTTGTTTTCTCTCGGTTGTACACTGGATTTGGGTGTCATTTTTCAGTCCCAGTAGTAGTTTTATTATTCAAATATCAGATCATCGTCAATCAATCCAAAGGGTTACGGGTTTTACCTCAAAATTTGCAGATCCGTGACTTTGGGAATTTTTTTTTTTTTTGAGTTAGTCTCTTCAGTATCTTTCTAAATCTCGGGTACCTACTACAGAAGAACATCACTGTAAGCTTCTACGTAGACTCATCCCAACAAGATAGCTTTGAGAGATTTTTTGTAAGCTGAGAGACATGTATATTGAACAAAGTGGGAGATGATTACCGTTGCATGTGCGAAATGGTCTCGATCTGCATGCTTAGAACTCGAATTTGTGATGGCTTGAGGCTTGGGAGACACATGATTTGGTTGAGAAGAGATGGCGACTCAGGGTGTTGTTCTTGTGTTGTTGTCTCGGATTTGAAATTATTGGGGGTCCTCACACAGATAACACCACATGCATGTGTTAGATTTTGTAAATTTTCCTCAAATAAATGAATCTGAGAAATGAAAACAAAAGATTGGAGGATCATTTTACCTTTGGCTGTCAGTTTTTCCAATTTCTACCACGGATGGGCTAGTCAACATTGCGGGGAGGTACGTTGTTCAGTTGCAGGCAGAGAAGATTTGAGAAATGAAAGGGCTGCGAGGGAAGAGATCCGAGAGAGTCTATTTGGTTTGTCTCAAGATAGAGAATGTTTTTGCGTTTTTGGGAGTAATGAAGGAGAGAGAGCGGAGATGAAATGGGGAAATGAGAGAAAACTGTGAGAGAAACAGAGGTCTTTTCAATTTAGAGAGAAATGGTTTATGAGACAAATGGAACATAATGGCGTTTTTCAGTTGGAATCCTAAGGCACTCATCCCCCGGATGTACGACACGTGTGCAAAATCTGAACGTTTCCTTTATCTGCCAAGAGGGGGTTTTGAAATGACTCTGAAATGGAGTCGTTTGGCTCTAGACTAGGTGAAAAGAGATGAGCCGTTCGGCTCGGTACTCAAGATTTGCAGGAATCCAATGTCTTCAATTAATGGTGCATGCTTTTACGTGGCCTTCATGACTGACAATTTTTTTTAAAACATCTGCATGACAGCTGCACGGCATTTGTCAAATAGGATGCCAGCTGCATCCCATTTATCAAGAAGGGAATCTAATGTCACGCCATGATTTTTTTTTTTTTCCTCAAGCCCAGGTTTTGTTCTTTCCTTTCTTTTCCTTAATTATATATATATATATATATATATATTTTCATTTTCTTTTCTTCTTTTAGTTTTCTCGGTAAGTTTACCAAAATGAACCAAGAACTCCAATCTCTTATAATGCAACAGAAGGCAAATGACACTTTGAAAAGAGAATTAAAAATATGTTTGGAAACTGATCAGCATAAGAATAAAGGAAAATATATTATTAAATCAATAGAACAAGAGGCTAGTGAGCCCATAAAAGAGATTAAGATTGAGCTATTAGATGAAGTCATTGAAATGGAGCAGCATAAAAATAATGAGTAGCATCAGCATCTGAGTGACAATGAAAAACAAGAAAAATATGAAAGATTTCTTAGGAATATATCTTTAGACTTGATAATAGATTATATCCTATTAGAAGAAATTTCAAAATCAAAATTAAGGATAATGCCACCAGATATGCAAAATGAAATCTTGAGCAGAGCATCACAGTCCATGAAAGAATTACAATTACAATTACAATATGTTTTGTATCAGTCTATCTTTGATCCAAAACCAGGAATCGATATTGTTACAAAGATGTATTCACCATGTATGTGTGATAGTACAGAGAATTGTATTTGTAAACCAGAGGTTAGCATAGTTGTGGCCAGATTAACATGAGATATTTTAGACCATGGCATTTTAGTTATGAGCATCAGAAAAAGCATAATTTGGTAGAAGTTACCCCGGCCTTACTATTACAGTTTGGCTATCTTGATAAAATATACATTAACCATATTTCCCAACTAGAATCATTTCCTGGAAAACTTATCAAAGTAGCAGAAGATTATCTAGAAAAGTGGAAAGAAATTTGCATAAGTTTTATTAGTAGCCCTCCAGATTGGTACGTACATATGCATAAGGAGAAAGCTAGGCACATAGCCATGATTAATGAAGAATCCTTTAGACTATCCCCTATCTCTCCACACAGGTGGACTCATTCATACAAAAGTATTCTAAAATTTGGAGGGATCCAAATGTTTGCCTTAGATGAGTTTGAAGATTTTAGATATGATATGGTATTAGTAGAAGAAGAAGAAGAAATGCATATTTACAGCAAGTCAAAAACCTGTCATCAGCCATACTGAAAGCCTCAAAATTTCAATTAAAATTTATCTTAATACACCCCACATACTTTCTCATAATACCCTTACATCCCACATTCTCATACACCTAATATTTTCCACATACACCCCACACTTTCTATACACCCCCACATTCTTTAAACCTTATAATACTCATTTTCATTTTTTATAAATTAAATTTACTTAGGATTAAAACCCTAACATTCTCTAAAAAGAGAAGTCTACAATCCAATATGTTGAGCTTGAATTTCATTGGGTCATCACGGCCAATCTCTGTTTCTTTGTCTCTTAAGACTTTTGCTAACAAAAAAGAGGATTTATGCTAAAAAAAATGGCAACTTGGAGGAACCTAAAAGAGCAAAAATAAACCCTATAAGATGAATAAGAATGGAAAAGGCGTTATTGGGTTAGCCTCCTATGAAATTGGGTAGTATGGAAAGCAAAAGCAAGCTTAAATAATTACCAATGTCATTGAATAATTAAAACAATAACAAATACGAAATTTTACCTCATGTGAAATTTCCGAAATATTGATATTGTGTTCCATTCATTAAATTTTTTCTCAATCAACGTGTTTATAGTTTCAATAGTTAGACATGGGGTGGAGGGTGAGAGGGTTTTTGATAGTTGAAGAAGATAAATAATACGTTAAAAGTAATTTGAGGTGTATTTAGAAATTTCTTATTTTCTTTAAACCTCATAAGGTCGAAATTGTCATTACATAATAGGTTACATAAGCCACTTAATATTAAATTTTAATGTGGGGTGCATTCAACATTATATGGGGTGCTAATAAAAAACCTATTTTTATAGTACAATGATTTAACTATATATATAAGGGGCACTTTGACCTAGGTCCAAAAAATTCAGTTGTTTTTTAATGGGGTCCAATTTTATTTGATTTTCTATTACACTTGTTTTGCCCCTTGAAAATATTTTTTTTTAATTCTTTAAATTTGAATTTTTAAAATTTGAATCTTCAAATACCTTTATCTACCCGTTTTCTAATTAAAAACACATTATTACAAATCTTATAAGTTTCTCAAAAATTAAAAGAAACATAGAGGTAGACTATGAACAAAAACCTATTGTATAGATAGATAATACAAAATAATCTGTGGTACAGATAGACTATGAACAAAAACATATTGTATAGGTAGATAACACAACTAATTTGTGATATATAGGTAGATAAACACAATTAATCTTAGATAGATTATTAACAAAATATGTAATATATATAGGTAGATAAATATAATTATTCATGATACAGGCACAGTATAATATAAAAAGATAAAATTAAAAAAAAAAGAAAAGGACAAGTGATATAGGTAGATAAAAACCAAAAAAAAATCGTGAAGAAAAATGATATTGAGGGAGGAAACACTAGAGAAAATGCTAATTCGATGGAACCTCAAGTTAAAAAAAAATATATATATATATATATATAAATAAATAAAAAAGATGAGACGAAGAACCCAAAATACAAAATTGACTAATGCAATTTTTTTTTTTTAAACCAATCAAATGTATATTGATCATCCTTATGGAAGGAGGAGGAGAAGAAGAATATTATGGAAGAAGATTACTGGGCAAATTAACGCAGGAAGAGAAAGATATTGTGAGGGAGAAACAAGAAAAGAGAAATGAACGGTTTGGGGAAGGAGAAGAAAAAAAGGAGATTTAAATCGCTAATCATATAATTAAGGATAAGATTAACATTAATCACAAACTTAAAAAACAGTAATTACTGAATTGGTCAATTTAAGGGTAAATTTGGCAAGAGAATACAAATAAACTTATGTGGACAATGAATCACTGGATCTAACCCAAAAATTAAACAAAATTGGACTATAACTAATAATGGCTCATAAAATTGGACTCATATATTAAGTTTCCCCTATATGATATGGACACATTGTAATGGTGGAGTTCGAGTATGTCAAAACTATAGGCTTTTCTCCTTTTTCAAAAGAAGAAAAAAATAGAAAAAAAAAAGGGAGGGGGGGGGGGAGATTGAACCAACAAATCCCTAACTTTGTGCCAATTGAAAAATGATTATCAAATTGATATAAATGATCCAAACCAACAAGTCCCTACATGTGCATATGTAAATATTGATTTTGTAAAATCATTAATTCTCCTTTACAATCCATATGGAATTAATTGTGTACTTTAGCCATTCAAATAAGGGTATTTTAGGCATCTGAAAATTTTAAATGTGTAAAGTCAAACATAATTAATGAACTTGCTTATGAGGATTCTAGTCAATGAGTTTTATTTGAGTAAAAAATTTATGTCGGATTTTATGTAAAAAAAAATTAAATTTCAGAGACTAAAGTCATGTTTTCAGTATTTATTATTTCCTCATGTTTATCTTCTAAGGCTTTATTGTTCATTACTATATGATTAGTACTTGTTTGTCACAATAGTAATTGTAGTACTCATACACTATTTAGTGCCGCTATATTTTTAGGAATTTATTAATTTATTTAGCAAATTAATTAGAGATACGATTTGATTTTGTATTAGGGTATTTTTAGTTTTCTTAGGTTTATGTCACTATTAATATAGCTTGTAATTTAGATTGAGAAATAAGTTAGTCACAATTTAGTCCCTTTGAGTTATGTAACCGTTATGGCAAATCTTTATTTACAGTTAATAAAATTATATATGTTTGTAATCGATTTGGTATTAGGTTTGTTAGTTTGTTATTCCTGATTGGTTACTCTGTTATTCAACTTGATATCATAGCAGGTTTGATCTTTCGGAGTTTGATCTACTCAGTCTGTATGTCGTTCTTCGCCTCTCCTGCTTCTTTGTTGTTTGTTTGCCTAGTTTGGATCAGTATGTTTAGTTGTCATTGATATTGAAAAAAAAAAGTGTGTATGTGAAACCAACGAATTGACTGTGTGTGAAGCTTGCTGTCGTGAAGAACGAAGCTAGAAATGTGGCCGATTAGACAATGTTTGTCTCTACCGTTTCTTCGTTGTTTGTTTGCAGGTGGTCGCAAGTGGTTACTTCTTTTCTATTTCTTAAGATAAAAAATTTAATACAAATGATATTGGGAGAGGGACTCGAGTTTTGTACTTTTTAGATTTTCTACATTACTACACAAATTGTCGATCGAACTGCAAGGGCTTATCAGCCTGCGTTTTATTTTTGGTGGTGAATAATCGCACAAGGTGTTAAGCCTTACTTGCACACAACAATTTCACTGGTGGGGTTTGATTTTTGAACGAACACAACATGTTGCAATCCCAAATGGTCATGCGTATTCATGTTATTAATTAATCTAACCCTAATATATTTTAGAGAAATACTAAGGAGACCCTTAAAGTGAGACTTTGTATGAACTCTCTGTCATCTCATAGTTTAACGTCAATTATCGTGCTAACATTATAAAACATTGTGCCAAAAACATAAGGTGACAAAGAGTTCATGGAAAGTCCAATATTTTAGAAAGTCTCCATAACATTTCTCTATATTGTATTGACAAGAAAAACTCATTCAAAAGCGTTGTTTTGCAACTTTTTATACATATTCGCAAAGTTTTAGATAAGAAATTGGAGGAATGTTTTTCTGTTTGGTCACCTTGAGATTGTACAAGATTATGTTTATGTACTAACATACTATACAAAATCATAGCATATATTTACCTACATTTAAATATAATCATAGGTATAGCTAACTTTGCTTTCTTGGCATGCTCCACTTGTAATAAATTGGCTCTTTAGTTATTTCATTTGTTTTACCCCTATAACGACTAACAAATGGATTTGTGGCGTTAAACAGAAGCATCAAACTAGAACCAACCATGATGCATTTTCATCCAACAACTTGAAAACAAACAAGAAAGTAAAGAGAGAAAAAAAAAGAGCCTTTCCCACTCTAATTGGAGGGACATGTTTAGATTTAATTGTGCTTTTGGTAGGTTCTCTTTCTCTCATTTCTATAAAAAGGTACAAAACAATGAATGAAGATTCTCTCCGGATTCTCTTTGTGAGGATCTCGGGGATCCTCCAATCACGTTTGTTCATCATACATCGTGCGGTCAGAAATCATTGTAAACTTTTTTATTTAAAATTGAATATAATAGTATCTGACGAAAACTGACCGCACGATGTACGATGAACGGACGTGATTGGAGGATCCCAGGGATCCTCACAAAGAGGATCCGAAGAGGATCCTCATTCCAAAACAATCAAATTTCCTTCGACTCTTGTCAGTTGTCATCATGTCATGCCCCCCATATATATCGTCCGATAAGAATGAATCATATATTGATGAGAGGAGGAATCTTGCATGTGCTTATAATTAGTTGGACTATTCTCCATATTGCCAATTAGTTTTATGGTAGAACCTCAACTTTCTTCATCCTCATCCTCTACATTATTTTCTAGAATTTTTTTTGGAATGTCATATGAATTTACACTTTGTTTTTCTTCTTAATTTGTCTTTTCAACTAAAATTTTAAGTGAATTGTGAACTCAATTTTTTCTCAATTCGTAATTTTCATCTTACAATAACTTTATCAAACTTTTCATCCAAGTAACGTATGTTTCTTGTACGTAACTTGTATTTAGGTATATTTCAACCTTCTTAACTTAGAAGTTAAAAAGTTCGAAATAGACCTAAACGCAAGTCATGCAAGAAAAGGGTTTCTAATTCCCACTCTCATTTTTACTAGTTATCTTCTCAAAAGGGATTTCTCATTAAAGCAAAAAGCAAGAAAAGGGTGATTTGGGGGTTTTCCTGTTCACAAAAAAGAACAGTTTTTTTGCTAAATAAGATTGAAATTATGTTTATGTAAGCCTATAATGGATTAATAGTTGCACGTGTATCAAAATGTAATTTGTTCGTGAGGAAGACTGACTCCATACCCATAAACAGTAAGATAATTTTCCAAAAGAATAATAAGAAGATCCCACCAAAGCCTCACCCAGAGAGGCAACATCATCTCCAAAGCTAGCGACATCAACTCTTGGAGACAAGTCGACAAAACTTCATCCCCTCCATATATTCCTCCAAAGAGATTTCCAAAAGCTACCTTACATACCATTTGGACTCTTTTCCCCACCATTTTCTCCCTATCAAGGCTTACTGCGGCCTATCCTCCCATTCACTAACCCCAACTTCAGAGAATATTTAGCTACCAAGCTTTGCCTTCTTGGACTTTGCATCAAGGATGCAGATACTTCTTCTTTGTTCACATCATTAGAATCTGATGGATAGCAGCCTAAGTTTAATAAAATAAATAAATAAACATTTTCCTAATTACTCATCATGCACTATATATATATATATATATATATATATAGTTGAATATCAAAGTACACGATGAACAAAACTAACAAGAATAAGAATATTATTAAACAAACTAAGAATGCCGGAACGGCTACAAAACCCTAAGAGGCTACATTGTGACTGACTTGTTTCTCAAACTAAATTACAAGCAATATTTATAGAGAACTAAACCTAAGAAACCCTAACTCGGATGGGTTAGGCCCAAATCCTAAACTAACAAGCAAAACCCAAATACTAAAATAAACCTAAATACTAATATTTTCCAAACACCGACCCCCGGGTCAAACTCATGGCAGTTAACGACATGAGTTTGCAAACAAGCAAATGTGGATGCAAGCCTCTAAATTCCAACGTCAATGCCAATGCCAATACCAATGCTGATGCCAATGCCGATACCGATGTCGATGTCAATGCAAGATTTCCATGGCAATGCAAATTCCAAACAAACAATCAAAAAAATCCAATTTACTCTGTCCCCAATGTCACTCAAGTGGTTTACTAATCCAAATACTCAAACGATCGTTGCGGTGAGCAACAATAACAGACTTCAAACAATTCAAGCGAGCGATGACCAAACGAGCAACCAAATCATTCAAACTAAACCCTTGTGTGGGCCCTATCGACTTAAAAAAAAAAACCAACTTTTTCTCCTTGCCCGTGTGGGCCTAAAAAACCTAACCATTTTTATTTTATTATTATTATTTTCCTTCTTATTCTTCTCCACTCCTGCTTTGCTCATGCAGCAACCAAGTCGAACAAAAGAAAAAGGGATTGCAGCCAACAAAACAACTCCAGTGCAAAGTCAAATTGCAGAAGGGGACTCCATACGAGCTGCGACGGATCCGACTCATAGGAATCGAGTGCGGGTACGATGCGAGTCATCAAGTTGTTGATGGAAAAGATCAGGTTTCGGTGTAGTTATCAAATCTGATTTGCAGGAGTTCAAGTGGAGACGAACTCGATCCGAGTGTTTCTCGAGTCGGAGCTTCATCAAAACGTGCAGGTGACCAGAGACGAATACGAACGGCGGGGAAGGAGCAGATGGCCATCAACACAACTGAAAAAATTAAACACACTTGTTTTTTTTCCTGCAAACTATCAAACACAACTAGACAATCTGAACATGAACGACAAACGGACACAAGCAAATGGATACCAACCCAAAGAAAATTAAATCCTGAAGATGAAACCTACTCTGATACCAAGTTGAATATCAAAGTGCGCGATGAACCAGACTAACAAGAATAAAGATATTATTAAACAAACTGAGAATGCCGAAATGGCTACAAAACCCTAAGAGGTTACATTATGACTGACTTATTTCTCAAATTAAATTACAAGCAATATTTATAGAAAACTAAACCAAAAAAACCCTAACTCGGATGGGCTAGGGCCAAATCCTAAACTAACAAGCAAAACCCAAATACTAACATTTTCCAACAATATATCTATATATATAGGTATACAACCCCAACAAGGTCACCTCAAAAGGCAATTGAAATATAATTACAGCCCCTCTTTATGGCTAGGCAAGGCAAAGATGGCACAGCAGTTCATTCTTCCATTGCCTTATTGCAAGAGAGGTTTCGACAATTGCAGAGAGCAAAGGAGATTAGGCAGGAGAGAGAGCTCTTGAGGCAGATACTTTCTGAATCAGACAGGACTTGTACTCCGGCCACATATTACGAGCCAACTGGGTTGTTTCTCCAATCTGGATTGACAGTTTCTCACAACTGTAAGCCACCACCTCACCAACCCCAGTACTCAATGTACCTCCAACCTAACTTGCAGAGCAAGCAATCTAGTTACCTGAAGGTTTCTGATGAGACTCGGGATATGGGGAACGGAGGTTCAAGTTCAGTTCCAGTCATGTGCAGAACAGACAATTTTGATGATTCAGATGTCGACACTTCTCTTCGCCTGTGAAGCTACTTCTACGTACTGATGGTTCATCGCTTTGTAATGTTATTGTTGAATATATTGTTCTAGTGAGATCTATTAGTTATATTGGGGAAGCATTAACAATGTAATTATAATATGTACCAGGATGATCAGAAGCAGTGTCTTATGTTCCTTTCCGAGTCCAGTCTGTGATCTGGTCAGTGTACAAATGAATCCCAATCATATTCTGTATGGTTTGATCACATCTACATATCATTTGGTGGGACGCAAAAATGAAGCATCTTAGATGAAAAGAGGGGAAATATTTGTAACATGGACAATATATCATAAAAAGTTTGGTTCTGTGTAGGCGTTAAAGGGAGCTTTGAGAAAACCTCACCACCACTCAACTTTGTTGAGGTTTTTTAACGGATGAACATCTTACATAGAGAATCTCTAAAACACAACCGGCCGGCTTCTCTTTTTCTTATTCTAGTACTTCATAGTTTATATTTTGCAATTGATGTATCCCTATACAATTATGTACAAGTGTAAGTAGACATTTATTTATATGTTATACAATAAGTTTAATTGAATTAAAAAAAATAAAAAATAAAAACCACGTAGGCCCCTCCTAGGCATCTAGGCACGATGCCCTTTCCCGCCGCCCTACTGTTATCTAGCGCCTTTTAGAACCTTGGAAAATCTGAATTCAATATCTTCATCCGTGGTTGAAAGAAATGATAATGGGAGACTGAGACAAGGGTGGCTTCGGTTGAGAGAGAGAGAGAGAGAGAGAGAGAGGCATCCGTGCTTTGGTTAGGGTTTCGTTTGAGATGATGAATAGGGAATAGTTTGGTTTTTTTATTTGATTTATAAAAGTTTTTAATGTTAAATAAGCAAATAAAAGGGTAAATTTGTCTTTATGGGCGTGTTGTGAAAGTGAATTAAACCTCAAGCTGGTCCTGTAATATTTCAAACATAGAAATTTTTGTAAAAACTTGATAAACCTTTTATAGTTAAAGTAATTTTGCATTGACAAAGTCAGTATGAACAAGTATTATTCACTTTCTAATTTCTATGCACCTTCACTTCCCTTAGTTTCTTGTTAATTCTTATGTTCGATTCTCCATCCAAGGCTGTGAAGAACCTACGCGAAGAAGATGTTCCTTGGGCGCAGTCAGTTAAGTCAACTAGGCCATCATATCGAATCTTTCGATGTGGGCCGAATCAGAGTCCATAGATGACACACAACTTGTGAGTTGGATTATAACCCAGTGACCAGTGATGGCACACAAAACTATCGACATATAGAAAGATAGAAATCGAATCTTACATAATCTGCACTATTTTTATCAGGAAAAAGATGACCTCTCTGTCAACCAATGAATTCAAAATGATAAATCCTGCCCATTTCAAGTTCAATAGGTTACTGTGAAAATTTCAAATCTTGGTACCCAAATATTTGAATCTTTTTACAGTATTCCTTCCTGATTCTTCTTGTTATTTTCTTCTCAATTTTTACCTCTTGTATGATTCCGTCAAAAATGGAATCGCGCGAAATGCAACTAATGTCTACTGACATTATCAACAGTGTCTTCATGTTCATCAGATATGGTGTTCTGTGGTCTCTTCTGAAATGAATCTTCGTCGTAGTCTGTACCATCCGAGTCCTGATCACCATTCCACTTTCTTTTCATGATTTTGGGAACCAAGCGGGTCACCTCTTTGGTCTCCAATGTAGCAGGATCATTCTCTATCCTTTCAAATCGAACAGCACCAACCTTTCTGGCATTTCCTGCTAGTATCTGGCCCAAAAAGAAAAACAATACTAACAAAGATATTACTCGGTCCAAGTAAGCGAAAACTCTTTTAATACTAGTTAATCCAAGGCAAACCCAATCTACCCCCACCACCACCAAATATATGATTGACCAAATCATCCAAAAAATAATACGCGCAAGCATTAATATGGAGACCTAATTATGCTAAAAGTACGGAATTTTCAAAGAACTGTATGCAGCAAAATATTAAACATCATACCTCAAGTTTAAAAATTTGGTGCTTTTCTTTTTTATCCTGGTTTTCAGACTTGCTCTCTTCAATCTCCTCTTCATTTTCATTTTCAAGAACAACTTTGATGCTCTCACCCGTCCTTGGGATATATCCAAATGCCTCGCATATAAAACCTGATACTGTCTCATATTGATGACCCTGTAAACAGGTAAAAGTCAGATCAATGTACAAGTGAAATTGGAAAATATGTCAAACATCCAATGCACATCGCTGATACTTTTTAAAATTGTCTTCATTGAAAAGGAAAACAGAACCATTTGGAAAATAATTATTTTAGCATGACTTTGTTCTTTGATAATCGATAATGAGCGGAAACTAATGAGCTCTTGTAAGGTATTAGAGTTCAGCTCTCAAATCACACTCATAAGTATTAGGTGAGCACAAGAATGATTCAGGATTTTTTATTTGTAGAGTGTTTGAGTGTTAATATGTCTGTAATTAAAGGGAGGACATATGCATACCCATAACGTGCCCTCAAATTCAAAACAAGGAAAGACCATCTCTGTAAATTAACCGTGCATGAGAAGTGCTACTTCCAATGTGGACAGCTGTTCATCAGACGATTTTAAATGAAACTATAATATGAAACAGAGCCAGTTTCTTGGTAATAGTCGTTTCTCATGCAAGAGTTCAACGGTATCCGTTGTGTTATCCATGTGCCGGTGCAAATTTTGCTTCCTAGACATTAAGTGTGGAAGGCTAGGCATTAGGTCACAACGAGCCCTTGGTTTGAGTGGAACCAAAGAGCCTTTGATGGCTCAAACATTCAGTCTAGTACAGGACTAGTGGACTGAGTAGGAGCCAAACTCTTTAATTCCCGTTTCTTATTTTATTTTATTTCACTAAATTCTTAATTCCCTTTGCGTGTATGTGGGTTGGACACTAGGGTTGTGGCCCTTAAGACCTAGGTGCTTTCTAATATATTTTTACGCATCAGAAAAATAGAACTACATCATATGGTCTTAGTTGTATTACACTGCAATAATGAACAAGCAATTATGCAGAAAAGACGACAATGACCTAATGCTCAATGACAAAAGATCGGGGAGGATGGGTATGGTATGATCACTTAAAATATAAATTTCAAGAGCAACATTTAGAATTCAAAACTTTCAAAGATACCTCTGGCATCTTGACATTTAGATCTTCAGAGAGCTGGTCAATAGATGTGTTTGCATCTACATCGAATATCCCCTCTGCACGCATCACAACGTAGCCAGTTTTTTTCTGAATCTCCTCCTGTTTCAGCATCAATAATTTCAGTCAGATGTTATCATCAATAATTATTTTATTTTATTTCTTGAGAAATACGTTATCATCATATTGAGAAGCATAGTTTGTGTGTTTATGGTTAAACAAAAGTTGTGCTTCCCTGTATGTGTAGAGCTACATATCTCATGCATAAAAAAATTTGGGACAAGGAAATTTTCTTTCCGTTGCTTGACTTTATTTGATTTTGTAGCTTTTTAATGTGATAGATTTCGACTGATACTACTTGTGCAAATGGGTGTGCCCCCATAGTGCTTTTGCTACATTACATATTACAAAAAAATTGGTCAAGGAGCACAAACAGTGGTAGTGAGAATTACTTTTGAATCATTTTCGTCAAATATTTCACCAACAATTTCCTCAACCACATCTTCCAGGGTTACTATCTGTTTCATCACAAAACAAGTTAGAGAGATGCTGCACAACTTGGTGAATTTTTAACAGAAACATTGGACATTAAATTCAATAATGAATGAAGAACACACCCCCACAGTTCCACCGTATTCGTTAAGAACCACGGCCATGTGAACCTTTCGAATGCGGAACTCCCTAAGAAGATTCCAAACAGACATTGAATCTGCAATATGGACCATACTCCATATGAGTCCAAAAATAAAACATATTTCAAACCAGATGGCAAACACGTTCCAGACAACTTTTACCATGAACAGCATATAATTTCTTAAAGAGCTATCCCAACTTGATACTATGCACAATAACAAAATTAGATTTTTAAAAGTAATGTTGTTAAAGCTTTACAAGTGAATTGACCTAGTATCATGTAGTGACATTAGTTCAGAGTCCTGAACCCATAGATTTTTGTCAATGATGATTACCAGGCACAAAGTAAGCAGGTTTTTGAGCCATATCCCCCACAGTAGTACTTTCTAGTAGCTCACCCTTCAAAATCAAACAAATTTACAGTTCTGCACTATGAGATCGCTTATTCAATTAATAAATAAAGAATAAGGATTTCATAGAGGGAAAAAAACAAGTACAAACTGTCTCACCTTCTGAACATAATCCAGTAGATCCATTGCATATGCTATTCCTACTATATTGTCAACACGCTGCTCAAATACAGGTACCCTAGAAGAATGTTCCAAGATATTATCACCAGAAGGCATGAAAAAACTATTCAGTGTACCACTAAAATTTTGGATTACCTTGAATATTGATGAGTTACCCACAGGTCGTGAAAATCAACTAGCGTTGCACTGGCATCGATGGCAACTACGTCTACGAGAGGTGTCATCACCTCCCTAACATGTGTATCTTTGATCTCCAACACATTTTCAATCATATCCTGGAAAAGGAGTTATTTTCCCATAAAAAAAGTGCATCTCAGATAAAGACCGTATATCAGAAAGCTTGACAACTAATAAACTTAAATCCCCAACACATCCCACTCTCTTCTCTCCAGATACAAAAGGCCCTCGACGTGTCAAGGAGTATAACATCTCTATTTATTATAACTATTCAAAAACAAAGTATTAGTTTTTCATCTTGCAAGTAATCAAAACCAAAAGATATTTTCAACAAAAGTGAAAAATAAAAAGCCCTGTTCCAATACCTGTTCTTCCTCCTCTATTGCCCCACTCAACTCTGCCCCCCGCAGCATCAGTTTTAACTCCTCTTCAGTAACATACGGTTCACTGATAAAAGAAAAATCATGTAAATTAAGGGCATAATTTCCTAAGTAAACAACATTAATAGATACAACTTGAATATTCCACAGATGTAATTCTTTATTATCCATAAAGTGAAGGTACGCATAAAAAATAACCAAATTAAGGTACACCAGAAAATATAGTCAGGTTAAATAAAAGAAGATATCCTCAATAATATTCTAGAATGATAGATGTTCTGCTTGCTGTCAACAAACAAATGAGATAAGAATCCTAATATATTGTTAAACTTAGACGTCTAATCCACAACTAATTGGCTACATGGAGATCCTGGATCATATAATTTGTTATAATGCAAGGCTCATAATTTTCGATTAGTCAGACTGACCCAAACACGTGGATTAATTATGTTGGGACATATGGAGCATTTGTAGTTGTTGGGGTTGGCATGTGAATATTGAAGATGCTATGATAAAGTCCATTGGTTTAAAATTCTCCCATAAACATAAGCCGTTAGGAGCTGTTGAATACTGAAGATGCTTCCTTTTTTTCTTTTCTTTTATTACTTGAGAAGCTTAACTTAAGCCATATGGCACATCAGCTGAATACGTATAGCTCTTGGGTAGAGATTTCCAACGCACACCTAACAGAACAAAGTGTATGCCACATTCTAATAGGGAGAAAGAAAATTGCTAACTAGAAAGTGGCCTAGAGTTTGTCTCTAGCCACATAGCCAATGTGTTTAAAAACTCAATTATACATTATATCATAATATGATGTATAAGAGATAACATGAACAGAAATAGAGAAATCATATTATTGAATGGTCATACTAAATTCATACTATCAAATTTATGAAATACAGTATTTATGTGACTAGTCTTCCTATGCCACTCTCCTTTATAGAAATGTCTACAGCTAGTCTTTTAACTGAGAAGACTAGTCAGGACACTTAGGAGAGGGAAAAAAATGGGAGTAAAGGAGTTAGTAAAGGAAGAGGCTTTTCAGTTGATGTTGGAAAGAGATAAAATGTGCACAATTTACAGGCAGATAACTGACCTCCTAATAAAACAACGAAGGAATTTTCATTAGATGGTAAAACATATAATCTGGTTTTTCAACAATCCCCACTAACTATTTATAAATACAATCAGCAACAGATGTTTTGATTAACACTTAAAGATACTTCCAACCTACCCATAATCTGACTTTGTCATCTTTCCTACTCCTTTGGCAAACAATTTCTTTAAGTTACTGTATGTACTATTATGTCTATAAGCCACGACAAAATGAAAATCAGGGAGAATTCAAACTTGGGTTATCAAAAAAGCAAACCTTCTTCCTTTTAACCCAAGTATTTTTAGCATCCCCATCGATAGATATGTAACAATTCTCCCCACCGGATATAGTACCAATGAAAGCCACGCCACTGGCCTAACCTAGGGGCATCACACCCAACATTCAAAAGAAGTAGGTAACATCAGTTAAGGCAAAACCAGCAAACAACTCAAAGTTTAAAACAAAAGAGAAAGATGTAAAACTAGTGGTCATAGGCGGTTTTAGTTGAAGTTACAGAGATTTCTAACATACCACAAACCTTGCAACCTCTGTGGGATTGTGAACAGCAACACTTTTCGGAGTTATTTCGGTGAGAAGCAAAATAGCAACCTTGAATCATCAAGAAAAACAAACAGTATTTATTATCAAATCCACTAGTAGTCTAGTACATTGATTCCTTATATTATTTGTGTATATGCAGCCTCTAGCCTTTTATAAGAAGTTAGGAAACAAGAAAACACAACACTTCTTTTACACTTTACTTCTAAAAATAGCTTTTTTCAGCAAAAATCAGCATCTATGTAGTAGACGTATCATTCTCTTTAATAAAATAATTAGACTCTCTCTCTCTCTCTCATGTCTATGTTTATAAATTGATCAAGCAATGAAAATGAGACATACAGTCATTATGCCCGTTGCTGCAGTGACACCAGCTTCACCAAATATTGCTGTTGCGGCATCTGTAACTAAAGCAGTTGCTCCAATATTGACAACACTGAGTAAATAAGTAAATTCTACAATAAGAAAGAAATGTTCAACTTCACGATAAAAATAAATAAATAAAAATTAATGCCAGCAAGAAACGAGAAGGAAAGTACGTTGTGCCAATAAGTATGGTTGTCAAGAACCGTGTAACATCGTTGCGAAGCAATTTGAAGACGCCATTTTCAGACTCTTTCTCAGCCAACTCACGAATCTGACACATTATTAATATCAGTTAACTAATGTTATTTCAAGATCCTAGTGTGTCGGATCATTCACTTTCATTCATTATTCTAATAGGAAGATCATTCACTGTAAAACGGGTACAAGTATTTCAAACTCACAAATATATCAGCACAAAAGGACCAAAAAAGAAGAACACCATAATATATTGAGCTTCTAAATGCCATTTAAAAGAATTGTCTCGTTAAGAATGAAGCTAACCACAGATAACGCTAACTCTCATATATGAAATCAAGTTATTATTGACTAATTGCAACGTTTAGGCAAAGATCCTTTGCAGTATTAGTTCAAAGGTACAAAATACACTCTAGGGAGGGCAGAGCCTAACTATATTACGTCATGTGACAAGATATCAAACCAGAAATGGAAACTAGCGAAAACATACAACTGAACGATAAACTTTAGCATAGACTAACAATACACTCTTCTACAATGTTCATTCATATTACGTACCAGGATACAAAGTAACATTACAAAATGAAGTCAAAATGGTACAGTGTCCAGTTGGGTACAAGTTCAGCATCCAAACAAATATACATTCCTTGACAATACCGATGATATAAGCATTCACGTAACATAGCATGCTCATACCTTCCAGGGCCAGAGGGTCGTAATTGAAGTCTCCGCCATCGAGAAAAACGCCGAGAGACCCAAAAGCGCCGCCAAAATCAAACCCTGCTCTTTGAACACCTGCAGTACCTGCAAAGTCTTGGGCCAGGCATTCCTGAGCAACAATATGCTCTGCCCAATTACCCCATAACCTGCATTGACCACACCCTCCACAGCAAAAGCTCTCCTACAGCCATAAATCAAAACCCCACAAACCACAGCTGCCAAAACTACACCACACTTCACCAATTCCTCAACAAAATCAAACTTCGAACCCGAAACAGCATTCGTACCACCCACACTCTCCCTATCTTCACCTAAAGCTTTCAACGGAGCTCTATTAACCAGCAAGTCAACTCCTTCAAACCTTGGAGCTAAGAACCTCTTCACACCGCTACTACCGATACAATTCGGCCCGAATCGAAACGGGTACCGATTATTTTGCAGCAAAACCTTTACCGGAAACTTTATTTGCCGATTGCAACACAAGAGACTCCATGATTTCGACCCGGAAACGAACATATTCGGAGCCAGAACACAAGACTCGAGCGCCATTTCGATAAATTACAATAAAAGAACAGAATTTGAACAAAACCCAGAACGAAAAATGAAGTAATTGAGAATAAAACAGCAAAGAATCGAATAAATTTATTGTCAAAGTTTTGAAATTGGGGAAATTTTGAAAATTATTGTATAGGGGTTTTTCTAATTTTCATGTGTTTGGGATATGGGATACTGGATGGGACAAAATTGGGGTGTTTGAGGGGAAATTTAGAAAAATAGCCAAAATTATCTATATACTAAAACCCGGTGGAAAACACTGTTCACGAGCAGTGTAATGGCTTAAATGCCCTTTTGTTTCTTCTTTGTTTTACGTTGTCTTATCTGCTTGGTACAGTTAACTGACTGAAATGCCCCTCATGTTAGTCTTTGCAGTGTGATTCTTTCCATTTTGTAGTGATTCATCGGGTCTGCCGTTTTTATCCACCTGTCCATTATCTGTGGTTCCTTCTCCATGCCGTGTCAGTGATTTTTTTACCTAGCCCACGTGTCGGTCATCGTGAGGTTTGGTTTTTAGTTTATACCCACTTTGCTTTTTGTTCAGTTTCCCATACCAAATTATGCATTTCTATCGTTTTGTAAGCTGTGCGTTTTCCTCTTCCTCTTTCCATTGTCGCCTTCGGTCGTCCCTTTCAAATCTCGGTCTGTGTCCTTTTCAGCTCTTCGTTTCTTCACTCAACACCATATCAGTGTAAGGGTTTTCAACTTTTAATTTTTCTTTTGTTTGAAACTGGGAAGTTTGATTTTGATAGATTCGAAAGAATACAAAAGTTAAATCTTTATTTGGGTGAATTTTTAAACCCAGTTTCTCTTATGGATTTTCATGGGTGGTTAAATTGAATATGGAGGTTTTTATGTGGTCTCAGATGGAAACAATTATAGAAGGGATGCAAGATATAAACGGCGTGGAATGTTTTCTATTAATTTTTTTCTTTTTTTTTGAAATCAATTTGGGGTTTTGTTTGGTTTTGTTAATTACGGGCTGTTGAACCCAGCAATTTGTCTACACAATATGTTGTTTTTTTTTTTGGTTTAAAATTGAAGAGTCTTTGCCTTCCATCTGTTTTCTCTTTCTGGAATTTCCTTTCTCAACGTTTTTCAAGCTTATGGTATATAATTTGTTTTTTTTTTTTGGTTCATGATTGGTTTTGCAGGTTTTGTGTTTGTACAGAGAAAGACGGTAACTTGGCTGGTGCACTGTCTGTTTTCAGTCGAGGGTGAGGTTTACTTTGTTACGTAGTTAATCTTAAAGTTGTCATCAGTTGTTTGGTCCATTTGTGATCGAAAAATTTGGGAGCATCTTTATCTGTTCATTTGTCATGTTTAAATTGGATTAAATTTTATGTTGTCCAAATTATAAGTTATGTTTTATTCTCATATATCAATTTGGTTGGCTCTTATGTTTATGATGGTTCTGATTCTGATATAGCAGTTCGATTAAATTTTAGGTTCTCCAAATTATAAGCTGCGTTTTATTTTGATATACCAATGCGGTTGCCTCTTATGTTTATATCAATTTGGTTGCCTCTTATGTTTATGATGGTTCTGATATAGCAATTTGATTAAATTTTAGGTGGCTGAGAAGTGTTGCACTGCTCCAGATTCCTTTTGTTTGAAACCTCTCAGGTCTTACAAGTTCTTATTGGTTATTTTTCCCTTCTTTTTTAGCGTGCATTTTTAACTTTTAATTTTTTTTTGTTGGGTTGTGTCATTTGATTTAGTTCTTTTTTATTTTCAGAAAGCGATGATTGTCGTCCTGCGCTCTAGCAACTATAAAGAACACAGCTTTAGGTACACTTACTCTCTAATGAAATCTCAAGTTTAAGTCTTAATTGATTTTTGAGTGAAGTGTTTTATGGTTTTGTTGATTTGGCTGGTATGTTTTCATTTGTTTGATTAAAATTTAATTTGGGTTATTAGGTATTTCTTGATTTGAATGATTTCTAAATGTTGTTTCTCCCCCAGTTTATGATATGGATAACTGTAGTTGGATAATAGTATGAGCTCAGTTATATTCTTTGAACCAATGACGGCTATTCAATTTTTTTTTTCTGTGTCTTTTTGAACTTTCATAAGTCATTGAATTTTTCTTAATCAATATTTTGTTTAAGTCTTTACTCCTGCATAGTTATCAAATTTTGATTTAAGTTAGCTTATCTTTCCTTATTTATCTACATTACTTGCACAAGATAGTATTGTTATATAACTGATGTCTGAGAAATTAATATTTTTACTTATTTAATCATTTCTTTTAAGACTTAGCGATGAATAATCTCTCCATGTTAACAATTTAATATATGCATACTGATGAATAATATCTATTTTTTTCCGTTTATTAATCTCCTTTTTAACTTTGTTCGTTTTTTTCCCCCTTTTTTTTTTGGATTCACTTTATATGCATAACCAATAGTAAAGAAAACATGCGGTTCAAGGCTCCACATCGGACATTGACTACGAGACTACAGCTTAAAAATTGAACCTGGTGGTAGCTATGAAATCACAAATTTTCGGACCACTAGAATGAAGGGCCAGTACAATGTGGTGCCGCATGAGACTCAGCTTATATTCAATGGTAAAACAAATTTCAAAAAGCTCTCAAAATGTGTTTCCACCTATTCCTCGACACCGGTTTTTCCTACAGGATTACAACACTCTTTATCCCCACTTGAACAAAGTTGACATTCTTACAGGTAATAATATTATATATGTATCTATATATAGAGATTAAAAACACTAAAGTTTATTTTTGCCAAATTATTTTTCACAACATGCTTATATTTACCTTTTAAATTGGAAGATGTCATTGGTCATCTCACTGCAATACAACATTTAGAGCCAAAACAGATTAATCAAAGGGTAGCATACAAGTGTGATATACACATTCAAAATGTCAGGTTATTCCTTTTTTCTTATCACTCTCATTATAGATTATCTTCATAATTTGCTTTATATTGAAAAACATGTATATATTTGTTTCTGATTTAATATATCTACAGAAGGCAACAACTCACTGTTACACTATGGGGAGACGTCGCTGAAGAATTTTGTTCTTCATCTGTCCAAGCACTGCCTCTCCCAATTGTTGTCATTTTTACAAGCTTAAAAGTGAAGCTTTATCTAGGTACTTAACTTAATTAGAAGCAATCTTTCGTATCTTTATTTATTATTATTTTTTAACACAGCTTTGTGTAAATTGTTCAAATCTTTTCTGATGACATAATTTTATCATATTCACTTCGTGTGACTTATCATATATCTTTGTTTTATACTTGATTAATTAATTTTTAAATATCTTAATAAATTGATTGTCAATCACTGTTATTAATTAACTTTCTCTTTTATTTTCAGCTTTTTAAAACTTCGTCCATTTAAATTAAAGTCATGGTGCAGTAAGTGATTGTATCATATCATTCTGATACTTGGCCTGTGTCAGTAAAACCATTTATCAATATTTTCTTTCAACTTTCTTATCATTATTTTCAATGCACAGATAAAATTGTGATGAACAGTACTGATTGCTCACTTCTCCTTTTTGATCCAAACATCCCAGAAGTTAATGCATACAAGTCGGTGTAAGTATTTCTATAGCTTTTTAACACAATTAAACTCTTTTCACTGTTTGTAAAAGCAAAAGAAATATTAGTTTCATAAAATTATTCAAACAGTTTTACATTTTCAATCATACAGGTTTGCAAATTGTAACGAGCCTGTGAAAATATTGGCCCCCTTCTCCAGACAAGTAAATGAGGCTGAAATTTTACGTACAACCAAGATGTTCACAATTGATGAAGTCGCTTTTCTAGATCTTGATTTACACAAGGTATAAAATCTAATTACATGTTTTTAACTCATCTTAAAAACATATGATTGCACTTTTACATTTTTAATAAACATTGTCTACATAATTAGTATTCCTTATACAAAACTATTACAAACTGTTTTGCAGAATGATACGTTTTTCTGTAAAGTGTGTGTCAAGTGTTTTGACACACGTTATCAATGGTGGTATAGTGCGTATGCCAACTGTGTAAAACAAATGCATAAAGACTTGACAACTGGACAGCTGATCTGCCAAAAGCATCCAAACCAAATTCCAACTCCTTGGTAATGTTTAACATGCATTCCTCAAACTTTGTCTTAAATATTTGTTATCCTTATCTTTTATTCTTTCTTTATATAATCTAACATTTACCAAATCTGTTTTTTCACATTTTTTCTCATATTTGTATGCACATGGTTTGAATACATTTATCAAGAATGAAATCAGGTCAGATATCCTCACCCTCCTTGATTATTTTTCTCGCTGTTTTTCTGCAGCTGTTATCCAAAACTTTGTTAGAGTGATACTTAGCTTAAATTTTGTGATGTTAAACAAAAAATTCCAACCTTTCCTGCTTTCACGTTATTTAAACAACTTTCAAATACTATGTGGTCAACAATTAAATCATTGTTCAAAACATACTCATTGCAGCACATATTTACCCTTTTTGTACAAAATTGGTATAGCTTTTGCACTTTTGACCATGTTATCTTCATTACTTAGTGACTACAATCTGCTTCTTTTTGTTTACACTTGAGTACATGTGAAGACCATAACCAATATGGCTATCATAAATCCAAACTATTAATTAACTTAATAACCATGAATTTCGTTGTAGATTTAAGTTTAAAAACAAACATTGATTTTTGTGGTTTTATCAATGCTTTCTTCTGTTTTATATTTATTTGTATAAGTTGAATTCAAGATTATTTTCCCTTAAGCAGTTTTGTTTTTTTTTAATCTAGGTATAAAGTCAATTTGGTTCTTGAGCATCACACCAATGAAATCAATGCTCTCATAATTGGAAAATCTGGTGAAAAGCTTTTTGGTGTGCCATGTAAAGATTTAGTACTGAATCAAAGATTAGTTGACCAACAACAGTTACCAAACAAGTTATTTAAATATAGTTTGTTTTATTTTCTGCAACTAGGTTGTTTTGACAGTGGAGAACCAAAACTTCATCTGGTGCCCTAAAAAATATACAGTATGGTTCATCAGCATATGTAAAAAACTCTTCCGGATGTTTTATGGCATGCAAATAACTCTTTTTACTCGAAACTTATCAATATTTTTGCATGTTCATACACCAGCACTTATTAATATTTTGTATATCATTGCTGGTTCTGGTTAAAAACAACTACAACTACCAGACTGTTAGATGAATGTAATATTTTTTGCATGTACATAGACCAGCATTTTGTAATTTTTTGTATCCAAGTGCTGGTTTCAGTAGAATGATAGCTATAACTACTAAACTATGACAAATGGATGTAATATTTACCAATGAAGTTGTGCATATTTAACTGTTTATCTCTATAGTGTTTCTAATATTTTTGTTATCAATGGTATTAATATTCTGTTACACTGTTTTTAAACCCGCGGCAACGCGCGGGCATTATACCTAGTTTTGACTATAAATTGAATTTTAACCACTATTATAAATATTTATAATTCTATTTAAAACTTGACATGAAAATATCATAATACCCTTTACTTTACTGGAGTTCACCGTTCCTTGTTCTCTGCCTTACCCTTTTTCAAGTAAAAACCCTTCCCCATTTTTCTCATTTCCTTATTTTCCTTGCTTTTTATGCAATTGCTTTGGAAAATTATGAACAAAAGGCAAAACTAAGTTAAACACAATTACAGGGAAAGAAAATGGGTTGTCACTTGTGCTCTTCACCTTCATCTTTCTTCCACAACCCCCAAACTCCCTCCCGCTCTCTCCCTTCTTCTTCCCCAACTAATTTCCAACTCAGAAGCTCTACAATTAACACCCCCAGACTCAGTTTTCCTTCACTGCAATTTTAGTCGAGAACCTGTAAGCAAATACACCATGTTTATTTTCAAAACCCATATTTTACTTCGAAGAGACCGGGCATGGTTGGCTGCTGCTACTGCTGCTGAATAAGTAGTCACAGACGAGCAAAGGATCATTAGAAAACATGATTGTAGTTGCATCACATTGTATAAGAAAAACATACAATTGGAAAATTTAAAGACAAAATATCTTGGCGGGGGTAGGGGCTGGAGAGAAGGAAGGCAGTTCTTTGGCCCTGGGTAAGTTAAAACCATCGAAGATGCGAGGGTGCCCAACGGACAATACCAATTCATACAATAACTCCAATTAACACCCCCAAGACTCAGTTTCCTTCACTGCAATTTCAGTCACAAACCATCGAAGCTGCAAGACCCAGTCTCAGAATCAGCACGGCTCAGCACAGCACTCTAAAGCTCCAGAAATTGAAAATATTCAGAGCTCCGTTGGAAATTCCGGCTCTTTACGAAAAGCTACATTTAGGTTAGAAGCTTTAATGGTTGACAACCTCTGTTGACCCTAAAAACTACCAAGCCTACGTGGCACGCAGGCCGAGTAATCTATAAGCTAACTACATCCTTCGATGAATGCGGGGCGTGCCAACTCGTCGGTTGAGCTCGACCGAGGAGTAAATTTGCTGATGTTGCGTTGGGTACGCGACTGACTTCTGCGTCCTGCGATTGCGGCCGAGAAAGGAACACGTCTCGACCTCTTGGGCTCTCGAACCTAAAGATAAGGTTACTATTCTTACGAAGTTCACAAATCGCCATCGTCGGATTCGGTCACAGTGATGTTATTCGTCAAAGTAAACTCTCTCCGAATCGACACCAAAGTGTAAGGGCATAAATACTCAAAGAGAATATAAGTCTTAATAATGAACGTGGTTCGGCCGTCTGAATGCCGAACTCTAAATCTCACTTGGGAGTACCCAATCATAAAATAACTCGGCGTGCAATGCGCCGAGCTCAATAAACTGTAACACCTCACTTCGCCGAGAAGGCTAATGAGATGACCTCAATCAATAAGGATCCGAAAATCCTTCTCGACTGAGACTTGGATAGGTAACCAACCGTCCTCGCCGCAGTGCTGTCGATGCCAACGGAAGATACTGCGAAACCGGCTGATTCTACGATGACAGAGCTATCTATGCCGACTTAAGATATCACCGGTTGCTCCCACAGTGTTGTTGATGCCAACGGAAGATGTGTCAGCGAAAAGGGAAAATAAAAATCTCAAAGTTGTTGAGAGAGTTTGTGCAGGGCAGTTTGTGTGTTGAATTGGAGGGGCTTGAATGATGCACAGCCTCCTCTATTTATAGCATTGGATACATTTGAAGCCGAGTTAAAACCCTACTTGGACTAAGTCTTCTTCTCCTGATCAAACACCAACTCGACTAGTCCTACTTTCACTATAATTGTGAACCTAGTCCTTTATCAAGTCGGATTCGTTTCCGGGTTATTGATCTTGCCGGGACTCCTCATTGCATCAGGATTCAACTCGCCTTGCGGTATGGCATAATCGACCCGGATTTGGAAGCCCACGACCTAATCGAATCCTGTTGTAAGGCCTTTTGGGCCGAGACTAATTCTATACTCGGCCAACCTAATATTTTGGGCCCAAACATTGCCCCCTCGCTTCTGAGGTCCTTGGCCTGAATTCTTTGGTCGAGTTTTGACCTTGAAGAAGCGAATCTTACACTAAGCAGCGAATCTTACACTCAGAGCCCAAGTCCTCCATTTCCGAGGCGCATTTATTGAGCATGATTGCACGATCTTGATCCTGTTGACCAAAACACCACGTGGCATCCTTTAACACGGCCAATCCCCAATAATGACGTCTAAGGCGTGCGGCTCCCTGAATCGTAGTGCCATCGTGACATTAGTGCTGAACATGACCGTGCTACCTCAATCCGCGAGCCTTTCGTCATCGTGCAGACGCCAAAACGTCCTTTGCCCTAAATCTCGTCGCCACACGCAATCGTGCGCTCCCAAAACCTGAGACCCTCAGGCTTCTCAACTGCATTTCCTGAATGTTCATAATGATTAGCGATTTTTTTCCAGTCGATTTTACCCTTTATTTTGAATTTTGAACGATTGCCCTTCCTTCCCCAGTTCTATAAATACCGAAATTATCTCATTTGTTCTTTCACGCTTTTAAATTTTCTGAAATTTCTCGCCATCATTCTCCAGTGCATTTCTTCTTTCCGGGTCTTCGTTCTTCAATCTTTAACCCATAAAGTTCTTTTCTTGTTTCACCATGGCCTCCTTTATCTCTAAGCTTTCTAAGGAGTGTGACCAATGCCAGAAAATCATCGATTGGAGTTCAATCAAAACCATCCGATTTGAGAGCGATATAAGCACCCCTCATCAAATCTTGGGTCCTCTCTTCAAGGCGGCGGTGCCATCGACCATCACTGGACTTCTCCAAGAGCACCGCCTATCACCCTTGCTACAAGGGTTCGACTGGTTGAAGTGGGATGTGGCGAGGCCTCAAGGTTCTTGGCCCTCGACTACTACAACCTGGGCCGCCTGGGTTGTAAGAATGGAAAAACTCTTCGGCGAGCAATGGAAAACCCTAGGCATCTACGACGCCATTCACCTTTCATCCATGGAGGTTATTCTGGACATGGAGCTCCTCCTAGCGGCTTTATGCTTCTGGTGTTTGGCCACTAACACCATGGTCCTCCCTCTCGGGCCCCACTGGCCCCACCATCATCGACCTTACTGCCATCTTGGGGACTTCCCCGACTGGAATCCTAGTCGACTCTGCCCTCCCTGGGTACCCGTCGAATCTTAATTTGAAGGCGCTCTTCGACAAACGGGCCCTTGAGACGCTAAGCCATGAAGGCCAAACACCCTCGAAGGAGGAGTTCCATAAGCTTCACAAGAACTTCTTCAACTACAACACCCTCTACCTCCATTTTGCCAGCCGATGAGAAGAGGCCCTGCGAGAAGGAGAACACGAGGCGTTCCTCTTCTATTGGTACAACAAATTTATTTGTTGTACCAAATCTAACAAGTGTTTGGTGGAGAATATGCCAGTGCCCGAAACCTTAGCTAGCGGTCATACTCTAGCACTCAGCCCGGACATTCTTGCCCACCTTCTACGCTGCTTGGCCGAGACGACCCTGGATAAGGTCGATCCGCAGCAGAATAGTCCCCTCTAAGTCTTCCAACTCTGGCTGCAGGTCTACTTTACTCTTCTTCGGCTGACGATTGCTCACTTCTCGCCTACTGAAGCACTTGGCCCTCAACTGGCTTTTCGGCCAATCCCCCCTCACCAAGCCGAATAAGTGTTCAGGTACTTCTTTGCTCTCGACGACCTTTATAATGATGAGTTCTTGATCTGTCGTCGTCGAGAGTACCCTTCATCGATCAGACTTCCTACAACAGCATGGGGTGCAGACGAAGATGCTAACCTTCGTCAATCCTGGGGGTCTTTCATGCTTGCCCGCAACCTGCCTCTCGACTGTGAGGGTCTCCGAGCGAGTTGGGAAGTGTATCATCCCAACTTCCTTGCTCGGCAACTTGGCTATCTCCAAGGTTGTCCAGACACCTTCGGTGATTGGTGGGAACAGTATACCGAGCAGTTTTTTAATGTTCCGGTCGAAACCGTTTTGAATAACCTCTTCGATGGTCGACTTAAGAAGGCTTCTGCCCCCCAAGCCCAAGGTAACGGTTTACTTTGCCTTTTTCCTTCAACCTTAAACTACTGATCTGCTTTGCTGATTTGCTTTTACTTTCTCAGGTAGCCGATCATCGAAAAAAGTGGTGGTGGTTGCTGCGGCTGCAGCCGAGAGAAAATCGATTGTTTCTAAGAAAGCAAAGACTGCTGCGCAGGCCTTGTTGAGCAAACGGCCTCGTCAAGAAGCCGAGCCGACCACCAAACCTTCTCGGCCCGCCAAACGGATCAAAAAGCTAGCGAAGAAATGAGAGACGACTCCCAGCGTTTCCCCTTCTCCCCCCATCGCCCAAGCCTTGGTCGAAAAACGGTCAATTCCAGCCGAAGCAACAATCCAAGCACGACCTATTTCTAAGGTTGGTAAACTAGTTGATGTTCCACCGGTCGAGGCTGCACCTGTCCTGGAAAAGGCAGTCCCTGCGACCAAGAGAACTTCCCCTACGAATCCAAAACCCTCGGTCTTCGTCTTGGAAGATAGTGAGGGGAACGACGAAGTTCCACTGGCGAATCGCCCTCGTTCCCGCCGTCAACCTCCTCCTATGTTCGAAGTGGCCGCCCAAGTCGGCCATTCTATGGCCGACCGTGGCAAACGACCGACCGAAGAGCCAGCAGCAGCGATAAAAATGCCCGCTCCTCCATAGGACCAGACCTCGACTCTGCGTCCGAAGCGGCTGTCCCAATCGGCCCTTCTATGACCAACCGTGGCAAACGACCTGCTGGAGAACCAGAGGCGACGGTGGAAACGTCCGTTCATCCTCAGGACCAGGACCTCGATATTCCTCCGCAGGAAGCCACTTCGGCCTTCATAAGTACCT